GAAGGTTCCAGCGATAGCATTTAACCTCCTATCTCCTCCGTACCCCTAGCAACGCCCATTGTACCAATTTTGAAATTAACACCCTCTTCTCTCTGCTCTCCTCAGTCCACCGCATCACGAACTGGAAACTAGGCCACATAACCGGTAGTATCAAATTCGTCAGCAACAGCTTCCTTGTGATTGGCACAACTGGCTACTACTTCGTGTACAGCCAACTCTTCTATTATGCAGGGGACACTCTCCTTATGGGCCATTACACATACATCAACGAGGAACCGGTCATGCGCAGTCTGAGCAGTGTCGTCAGCGAGGAGAGAAAGTACAACACGAATTATCACGGCGCAGTGTTCATGCTCAGAAGCGGTGACAAAATATCTGTGCGCATCCCGTTCACAAAGTCCTACTTCATGCATAAGGAAACCAGTTATTTTGGTGCTTTCCTTATCAGCCCCGTGTTAAACACGACCAGTTTTGTTCGAACGACTAACACAACTCAGGATTTCCCATAGAGCGGTTTTCAATCGAGTGTTGAAAGTTAAGTAATGCGGAAATGAAATGTTTTTTTTTTACTTCGCACCGTGATTGATTTGAAAATCTTGTTCCACTCTCTCGACCAATGAGATGAAAAACAAAAACAAATCGTTGACTTGGCATTCACCTTTTCCCCAGCTCGCCTCAAGCAATTAAGGTGGGGGAGGGGGGGATTGGAAGATTTTGGGGATCACATGCTTTTCAGGGAGAGGAGATAGGTGTGAAAAACATTACAGAGCTAAGGGAGGATCAGGTAAATTTATCGTACAAATACCAAAATCTTCCGAACCCCCACCCCTCAGGGGATAAATAAAGACATGTCCCTAAGCTTGTTTTTACATCAGATTTTCATTTCCTCTACTACTACTTTGCTTTGATTGGCTGTTGTCATTATTTTGGTTTGGTTTTAGCGACACTCGATCGAAATGCGCAATGACCTTGAAGTACAAGTTATACGTTCATTTTGTAGACTTAAATGTTTGAAACTTTATCTAGTAACAAGTTTATCAGCAGAGTTTCTATTACTTGAATAACGTCACATACAGAAAGTCAAAAGTGTTAGGAAAGGGAAAAGTTCTTTTTCATAGTGCACTGTTCAACTCAAATATAAACAAATCTGCGTTTGCGAATACTTCTCGCAGGCGGACACCTGCTATATGCATACGACGATTATTTTACATTTTTATTTGCTCTTTGTGACGTGCAAAATTCCCTACCAAGTGAAGGAGACGACAACATATTACTTCGGAAAGTTGGAAAAAAATGGAAAGAATAAGCCAGTTAGAATGGTGTAGATTTAAAAAAAATTCTAATGAGATTCTTGAAAACGTACTCCAAAGTTTCAAGATTCCAAAAAAAGCGCAATAGTTCCTTCAAGTTCCCAAACTTAAGAAAAAAAAAGTTTCGGTGGTCTTTGACAACTGAATTTCGATTTTCAGGTTACTTCTCGCATGTTACGTTCTGCAGTTATCACAATATACAAAAATAAGAAATTATTACAATAGTTTTATGTCTTTAAAACATGACCGTATTTATTTTGGCGGACGTATACAGTGCACGTGTAATCGTTCAGTTGCGTGATGCAAACGTTAATAGCATCTCCCCTTCCCACCCCTCGTGAGGAGGTGGAAAGGCGACGGGGAGGGCCTGAGGAAGGTTGTGCGTGAGTCACATCAAGGGTATGCGTCAATGTTTTTAGTATTGTTGTTCTTGAGGTCATCCAACTTTAAGGTCATCTTCGTTGTCTGTATTTACAGTAACGCACAATGCTTGTGACCCTTACAGTGAACAAGTTATACGTCTGCCAAAAGAAACACGGGACCTTAATAATGTTTTAAAATTATCGAAGTATGCGTAAGGTGCCTAGTAAATTGCAAGGAATTATATACACATATATAATTATATACAATATAATTATATATTTTTGAGGGAAAATCTTGCAGAATCAGTTGTAAGTTTTGGTGTTGGTATATCTTGCAAAAACTTAAATTGGTTTTAAATGAGGGGTTTGTCAATACAGAGTAGAGGAGACCTGTCGGTTTTGATAACCGTCATTCGGATGATTGCACACTAATTAGAATTCTGTTGTAAATAAACACATGTAAATGCCTACCATCACAAGTTTTACAAGGGTGTGTGCCTTCACTTGTCACGCTAGGCATAACAGAGTATGACCTAGTGTTTCGTTTTATTTTCACTATCATTAGAAGCAAATTAATTGAGGTGAGAAAATTTAAGGGTGAGGTTACCCACAAGAATACGTATACGTCGGTTGTCCCTGTAAAAAAAATCCAAGGAATGTTGCGGGCTCCGTTGTTCTTCAAGACCAGAAAAATTACAGAAGCAGAACTTGCGTAAGAGCCGGGGAATGCGTTGTGTTGCATAATTTAGCATGTGTGCTTTCAGTTCTCATTGCTCTAACGAAAATACATCTCATTTTTTTCTCTGATTTTTCTGTCTCTCCGGGCGAGAGGTACAATGTGTTTATATTTGCATGCAACAGAAGGATAAACCATTTTATTTTTGCTTAAGAAAAAGTTCTATCGCAATTTGAAGGCAGGGGGTTCATACCCTGACAGAGCAGAAGTCATTTCCGCACGTTTTCGAGCGATGAGAATGTTCGTCCCTTCTCTCTCCCACATTACTTTTTTCACTCTTCTTCCTTTGATGTTTGTGTAATGTTTGACGATTTTTACTCTCTCTTGAGCTCAAACAAAGGAGGATTATATTTCTCATTTAAACGCCTTCTTTCGTCCTAAAATCTTCGTAAAATCAGCATTTCGGTAATTTGCTCATTTTCAATCTGCATGTTTGAGGTTGAGAACGGAAAGTATGATTCAATTCCCTTTTGAACATGGAGTTGAACTTCTTAAACAATAATCAGCACGTTCATAAATAACTTTACTGCGATTACAATCGATTGTAGACTTGCAAGCAATATCGAGTTGTTTGTCACGCAGAAATTAAAGCTTACGTTAGCATAATAATGTCTCTTGTGATCTTTTGCGGAAAGATGGTGCTGAGATCGCTAAAATTTTGCTTTTAAATAGACTAGACAGTGTTTCTATGGCAAACGGTTTTCACGTCTTGGAAGACAACAATTTTATAAACAATTCGATGGTCAATGATAATCACAACCGTATTTGTAATAACAAATCGAACGAAACGAAGGCAACTGTTAAGAGTTTTTATCGACGATAAATGCAAAAAAAAAGAATAATTCGTGAAGTATTATGTTTTTCTAATCGAACAACCGTGCAAATATGTAAGAGTTCGACGAAATAAATTATCTATCTTAAGACAGCCCGAGAGTTTGCTGTAAAAGCCTAAAACGAAATAGAGACCGTTAAATGAGGACCGGACGTTTGAGACAGTCGAACCTAGCGAAGTTTGTTCGTGACTGATAAGAGTTTCCGCCCAGAACACTTATATGTACACCGCATTAAGATTCATAAACATATCTTACCTTGAAAACACTTCAGCATTCATGTCCTTTTGTCAGAAATTAAGGTAAATTAGCCCTTTTTACCTCGTGTACGAGAAGACGAAATACATATGTGCTGACAAAGTACATTCCTCTAACTTGGGTGGGGGATTCCCCAATCAGTTGATGGTCAATTATTATTTTATCCGAGGGGTACTGGGTCCATCAAGGGGCTGGAGATTATTTGTAAGCAAAATTTTTTAAACTTGCCGGCTTTCAGCGGGATTTTCAGCTCCACAGTTCAAAGAAAATCATTAATTTGTTGAAAGAATAGGAACGTTTGAACCAAAAAGCGATGCGTTGAGATCGACGTGGAGAAAAAGGGTACGAAAGGTTTGAATGAAAGATCGAATTCAAGTGCGGAAATAGGTATTTTAGGCGCCCGGTCTTATTCAAGAGACAGAATATAATTTTCATTTCGATATTGATAGAAAATAAATCTCTTCATTTCATTTTGGAAGAAACCAATGACGTGGCCGACACCGACTAAAAAAAAAAGTGGGAATCAATCGCATAGATTTGTCCATTAGACCACATTTGGAACTAACTAGACGTTATATAAACGTCTTCATATAAACACACACACAACCCACAATTCCTCTAATCGCTCTGACGAAGGGCTAACGCTCGAAACGTCGGCTTTTTTACTCTTTACGGCGGCCAATTTACGTTTTCAACTCAGTTGTTAACGCTAACTAGACGTTTGCATGCATGGCTTAACACACATATAAGATCGAAATGACATTTAGTTCAATTCGCTGACACATTCTGAGACACAAATTCAGGTTATTTCCGCCTGGGCGATGGCATTGGTCCCCTAAAATTTGTATAAAGTTGTGCTTAAGAAACTAGGCTTCGACCTTTCATGGGGCTCGAAGCTCACCCTAACACGGGAGCTCTTTGTTCCACCCCGGCAGATTTGATCACAAATGACTAGTATGAGAAATTAATCTTTTTAGACCAACGGATGAGTGTTGAGTCAATTCATGCAGATTATAACTAAAAAAAAGGCAAAAACAAAAACATTTCATGCAGTTACGTTCGATATCAGAGATAAAGGAAGTGTAAGTCAGTCTTCACTCATCTTCTGATTTCTCTCCACAGTGTACTACAAACTCCTGATGAGATTGAAACTTCAAGAATTTGCCAATTTTGAATATCAGAGATACAGGAAGTGTGAGTCAGTCTTCCGTCATCTTCTGATTTCTCTCCACAGTGTACTACAAACCCCTGATGAGATTGAAACTTCAAGAATTTGCCAATTTTGAATCGAAGCAGCAAAATCTCAGAAGTGATATCAAAAGCTCTGGCAAACTGTCAGGAGAATTAAGAGTTTGACGGTGGACTATTTAGAGCATTCACGCTGTATTGTGATCCTGTCTTACCCGCTGAACTGGACTGAAATCTTTCGAATTAATTAAACGTCGCGCATTGATTGGTTCGTACAATTTTATTGTGACGTTTATTTGAATAGAGAAACCACTTTCACTTTCTATTCCTCGTTCCGTTCATCTCTTTACCATTACACCCTTTGAAGGGCTAAGCGTTTTCTCGATGTGTTTAAAGAGGCAAATTTAGCATCTGTATAATTTAAGTTATGGTTGTCTCTTTTTTCTTTTGAGGTTGTTAAAATGTTCTTTGGAAACTGTGGTTAAAGATAAAAGTGAGTTTAAAGAACTAAAAATAAGGGCAGTCGCATGTCACCGCTTGGTTGAGTTTCTCAGAATAATAGTAATTCATTCATGAGCAGGACCAAAGGTAAGCACTTCTTTCATCATGATATGATATAACTTATTAAATTTCCTACGTTTTAGGACATTCGAAGTAAAAAAAGAAACCAACTACATCCGGAACCCGTCGAGTACCATGCGATGAAACGTTCCTACAAGCTAAAAGCGATCGACTAAGCGATTTGTAGAATTTGGCCATTTCCGGGCTGTTGCTCACGCAATCAAAGCTTAAAGTTTTTCTTCTGTTATTGTGTTTTTCTCTTTCCAACAGCTAGCATTTATTCCATTTGTATGCTACAGATTTGACAGGTTTCACAGGAGCTGAGCTAGGGTCTTGAATGATTTATCTTACAAAGAGTTTACTTTACACAACAACGCTGTGCTGTAGAAAATGTCCTTTCAGTCAGCTTTGAATGCACTTTCCAAGTATTGTTTTAAGAAATCGGCTGTTGATAGAAAGAAAACGATTTCATGTGCTTTAAAAAATATTTTTTTTTAACGAAATTCCCATTATCAAGCTTGATACCTTTCATCAATCATTGGTTTCTAAGAAATAATGAAAAATTTGCGAGTGCGCACGCGTTATCTCATCTACGGTTTCCGCCAGTTCAGTTTAGTATCATGAAAATTCAAATATCTCACTCTGGCTTAAAAATTCAACTCATAGCTAAATCCTTATCTGGTTTGAAATGTAGTTTGCATGCGAAGTTTTGAATTGATCTTGTGTGGAATTGGTTCTCCGTCCACAATCCTGCAATCCATTCTGGTTGAAATTTTCCACGGTTGACAGCGCTAATCGACAAGGTCGGATACGAACTCTTCTTTGGAACCATTAAGCTGGTGTGATTAATCTGAACGCGTTGGTCCTATATACTGAAGGTTTCTTGCTTTCTACGACTTTGAAATGATCTCTAACGTGGCAACGCAAAGCTCGAATACATGTAATGATATGCATAAGGAGCTCTGTGTACTAATTAGATAGGTTGCAATTGACTAATGTGAAATCATGCATTTCTTTTCCTTCCTTAATTTCGTGATTCAATCCGTTTACTAGAAAAATCCACTGTGCGATGAAATGGCCTGTGACAGCTACAAGCTGACAATGTCTTACGTTTGATATACACATTGTTTTGATCTTCCATTGTTATCTTTGTTAGCTGAGTCAAAGGTAAACATTAAGCCACTTTGCATAATAATACTTAGGTAGCTCTAGGCTTCTCAGAAATCGTAGCCTTTCGGTGAAAATAGATGTCAAAATGGAGTCCGCAGCCCTCATGAAACCATGACTCAAAAATGATGGCGTAATAAACATTGGTCACGTGTCCAATGTTGTATGCGGCAGAGCAATCGGTGCACGTATCGTAATTCAATGAAATTCTTCAGCTTCCTTGAGATATATAAGTCAAAAGCAGCAGACACGACGGGTCATTTTCAAGGAAATACGGAACGCGATGATTGAACTACGACAGGACTCTCTCCAACAAAGCAAATCTCTTCGATGGATCAGCATTTTGCTCGGTGCTATTCTTGTTGCTCTTGGTATACACTCGTACGTCTTGATCCGAAGAGATTTCAAAGAGCATTCGTTATCCTCAGAATTGAAGGAGCTGAGAAAAATGGTGGAGGAATTGTCTTCCAAAGTAGCTAAAACAGAGGGAGAAAACGAGAATTTAAGAGAAGAGCTCTTTAACACAGAGGTAAAGTTAGAGAACTTGCAGTAGAAGTTTCCAGATTTTCTCTTTCCTTTCTTCAGGCAAACTAACAGAGTGACTGCCCAAACTTGAAGTATATCCTAAAAGTTATCATCAAGTCTCTTGACATCGATAAAATTCGAACTACGATTTATTCAACTCTTTTGTTTTGCATCTTGCAGATCTCCCGCCAGCGAAGGAATCCTAATCGTAAGTAATGATATAGTTAGTTTTGCATAATGGTAATTTCGAATGTCGGTGAGTGGTTGATTAGTGCACGGCGGCGAGTTCACGTTCGAGTCAACAAGTAGTTCTCTGTCCCCGACCTTTGGTCAAAAATAAATCCGCGTTGTCATATTAAAAATCTTTTAGCTTTTTTCAGCTATTTACTTCTCACGCATGCTCCGTAAACGCGATCATTAACAGTGAATATCTTTTTATAACAGAATACGTGATTATGTAAAGTCTATTGCAGATGGCTGCATGTTTTGTCCTACTTCCGTGTTTTCAATGAAACAGAGTTTACGAAAAAGTTATTCGGTTTCATGTGTTAGGTGAAAGGATAAGGTCACAATAAGATAAAAAAAAACCTTGCACAAACATTGTTAATGATTTTTTTGTAAAGATCTTCAACACTGTGATATTTTCATGTACTTCCAGCGCATACTGAGTGGAACAAATTTAGTTAACCATTTTCTAATTCAGCTGAAAATTGGGTTTCTTTGACTACCAGTGCCATTTGAAGATTCGTGTCCCGTGAGACAAAAAAAGATTAACACTGTGGTCGAGTCTAAGTACTTCTGTTAAAGCGCTCTACAAACCACTATCAATGAAATACAACGCCAGTGTCATAGCTGAGCATGCTCAGAAGACCTCTTGAATACCATACTCACCGGGAATTACACCGGAAAGTCGGTTTATTTTTGGGCCTATAAACAGATTACTAAAGATCCGAAGGCCTAGTCGATGTTGAAATTTGATGTGAATCGGATCATATTAAATGTTGTTGGTTTGCAGCCAGCTTTGATTTTGCACGAGCTATTATCAACTTCCTGCCATTAGAATCCATACATGTTCCTTTTAGAAACGCGATTTCAGTTGGCGGTAACATTTGTTGAAAGATTTTGCTTTAGACGGAAGGAAACGACTGTTTTTCGCCGCGACCAGAACATTTGTTGAAAGCAATAAATGATAAATGAATTAAAAAAAAAATAAAAAAACATTCGAAAACATCCTGTGTTCCTAAGTAAACGCAAAGAAGATTCAAAGAAAGTCCCTCTCGTTCCATCCACTAAAACTACGAAAAACCATTTGCTAAGAGTTAGATAGAGACAGTTTGGCGTATTTTCAGCTCGATCTTCGTGTTTAGAAAGATGTGAAAGAAAGGTATTTGTTTATCGTGTCACGAGCGTGAGTTAACCGAAAAAGTCTGAGTCCTCATGAGTAATCGAACCTCAGTCCGCTGTGCAATTTGCATTGTTTGGAAAAGCACATGTTGATCACACTAACGTATCTATCGATTGTATCCAGTGTTATTCTTTGCCCAACCCAAATAAACATAGAAATATTAATCGTCAGTTAGAGTAAAAAAAAACCACATGAAAAATGTAGAAGGTTTAATACATATCTATTTCGTACCACAATAATTTCACGTTGCAATTCCC